CATGGTAACATTTGTGGGGCATTCCTTTTTGAACAGTACCCATTCCCTTGATGTCTACAATATCACCTTTCTTATAGATTTGCATATATGTGGCCAAAGGAACAACAACAAGTTTACTAAAAGGCTGAACATATACTGGGTGCCTCTCCTCTTTCCCTTTGTGTTCATCATTTTGGCAAATTACTGGAAGATGGTGGTTCTGGCCATCTTTAATTGTATTTTTAAATTTCGATGAAGTGGGCTGGGTGCGGTGGCTCACGCCTATAATCCCAGCACTTTGGGAGGCCAAGGTGAGTGGATCATTTGAGGTGAGGAGTTCGACACCAGCCTGACTAACACGGCAAAACCCCATCTCTACTAAAATAAAAAAATTAGCCAGGCATGGTGGTGGGTGCCTGTAATCCCAACTACTCAGGAAGCTGAGGCAGGATAATCACTTGAACCCAGGAGGTGGGGGTTGCAGTGAGCCAAGATTGTGCCACTGCACTCTAGCCTGGGCAACAGAGTGAAACTCCGTCTCAAAACAAAACAAAACAAACAAACAAAAAAATTACGAGGAAGTTAGGCTGGACACAGTGGTTCACACCTGTAATCCCAGCACTCCAGGAGGCTGATGATGTGGGAGGACTGCTTGAGCTCAGAAGTTCAAGACCAACCTGGGCAACATAGTGAGACCCCACAACTCTATTAAAAATTTTTTTTGATGAAGTTCAGTTTATCAACTTTTTTTCTTTCAAGGTTCATGGATTTTCTTTTGGTGGGGGGGGGGTCCTATCTAGGAAATCTTCACCTACCTCATGATCACATAGTTTTTTTCTCCTATGTTTTCTTCTAGAACTTTTATAGTCTTAGTTTTTATAGGTAATTTTGTTGAGACAGGGTCTCCCAATATTGCCCAGGCTGGTCTTGAACTCTTGACCTTAAGTGATCCACCTCAGCCTCCCCAAGTGCTGAGATTATAGGTACGAGCCACTGCAACTAGCCTTACATTTACATAAAATCTATTTTGGGCCAGGCAGACTGGCTCACACCTGTAATCCCAGCACTTTGGGAGGCTGAGGCAGGTGACTCACCTGAGGTTAGGAGTTTGAGACTAGCCTATCCAACATGGTGAAACCCCATGTCTACTAAAAACACAAAAATTAGCTGGGTGTGGTGGTGCACACCTTTAGTCCCAGATACTTGGGAGGCTGAGGCAGGAGAATCGCTTGAACCCAGGAGGCAGAGGTAGTAGTCAGCTGAGATCTTGCCACTGCACTCCAGCCTGGGCAACAAACTGAGACTCCATCTCAAAAAAAAAAAAAAAAAAAGAAAAAGAAAAAAGTCCATTTCTAATTAACTTTTGTATGGCATAAATTAAGGATTAAGGTTCATTTTTATCTGTATGTGTACCAGTACATTCTCACATTACTATAAAATAACTGAGACTGGGTCATTTATAAAGAAAAGAGGCTTACTTGGCTCATAGTTCTGCAGGCTGTATGGGAAGCATAGAGGCTTCTGCTTCTGCGGAGGCCTCAGAAAATTTACGATCATGGCGGAAGGCGAAGGGGAAGCAGGCACATACCTGAGCAAGAGCCTCTTGCTCAGAGCAAGAGCAAGAGAGCGAAGTGTGGAGGTGCCACACACTTTTAAACAGCCTCCTCTTGTGAGAACTGTATCACAAGAACAGCACCAAGAGGATGGTGTTACACTATTCATGAAGGATCCATTCCCATGATCCACTCACCTCCCACCAGGCCCCACCTCCAACTCTGGGGATTACAATTTCACATAAGATTTGGTGGGGACACAGACCCAAACCATATTAATACAGATATCCAGTTTTTTCAGTATTATTTGTTGAAAATACTTATTTTCCTGTCCGGGCATGGTGGCTCATGCCTAGTAATCCCAGCACTCTGGGAGGTTGAGTTGGGTGCATCACTCGTGGTTAGGAGTTTGAAACCAGCCTGGCCAACATGGTAAAACCCAAACCAGCCTGGCCAACGTGGTGAAACCCCGTCTGTAGTAAAAGTTCAAAAATGAGGCCAGGCGCGGTGGCTCAAGCCTGTAATCCCAGCACTTTGGGAGGCCGAGACGGGCGGTTCACAAGGTCAGGAGATCGAGACCATCCTGGCTAACACAGTGAAACCCCGTCTCTACTAAAAAATACAAAAAACTAGCCGGGCGAGGTGGCGGGAGCCTGTAGTCCCAGCTACTCGGGAGACTGAGGCAGGAGAATGGTGTACCTGGGAGGCGGAGCTTGCAGTGAGCTGAGATCTGACCACTGCACTCCCGCCTGGGCGACAGAGCGAGACTCCGCCTCAAAAAAAAAAAAAAAAAAAAAGTTCAAAAATGAGCCAAGCATGGTGGTGGCCCCCTGTACTCCCAGCTACTCAGGAGGCTGAGGCAGGGAAAATTGCTTGAACCGGGGAGGCGGAGGTTGTTGGGAGCCGAGATCACGCCACTGCACTCCAGCCTGGGCAACAGCATGAGACTCTGTCTCAAAACAAACAAACAAAAAAACAAAACCCCAAACCAAAAAACAAAACAAAAAAGAGTACTGAATCTGTCAACCCATAATTAGCATCTCTCTTCATTCAGTAGGCTGTAGGCCTTCATTAATCTCTCTCAGCAATGTGTTATAATTTTCATTGTATAGGTCTTACACATTGTTTTCTAACTCTCGCTGCATCCCAAATGGAAGGGACTATTTTTATTTTGCAAGATATATACATTAAAAGCAATAATAACTACCAAGTGTACTTTTACCATCTTTTCCTAAAAGGACATTTTAATGCCAAAGAAACAGATGGCAGGAGGTCAGAGTGGTTACAGTGGCTGAAATCTACCTATATGGCACCCACGCCGGCTCCTGTTCTGAGGAGTCATGAAAACTGGAAAGGGAGTAACCCTGAGGCCGACCAATCCCATGTTAGCTCTACTCCACATCCAGTTCACCCTGTGTTCATCTCATCTCTATGGCAGACAGAATAATGGCCCAAAGATGTACATGGCATGATACCCAGAACCTGTCTCACAGGCCAACAGGGACTCTGCAGACGGGAGAGAATTAAGCATTGACACGGGGAAACTATCCTAAATTATCCTGATGGGCCCAATCTTATCACAGGCATCCTACAAAGTGACCACAGGACCAAAGAGGGTCAGGGTCAGAGGAGTGACAGGGGAGACGGAAGCAGAGGCTGGAGTGCAGCACTCTGAGGACAGAGAAAGGGCCATGAGCCAAGGAATGCAGGCAGCCTCTAGGACCTGGAAAAGGCAGGAAACGGATTCTCCTCTAGAGCCTCAGGAAGGAATGTGGCTCTGCAGACACCTTGATTTTGGGCTCTGAGACCCATTTTGGACTTCCGACCTCCAGAACCATAACAGACGTGTGTTATTGGTACGCCACTGGGTTTGTGGTGATTTGATACAACCCACTTTAGGGAACACTGACCCAGAAGGAGGGTGAGGATAGAGAAGCCATAGTCAGCACAGAGGTGCCTGGAGGTGGGAGCAGAGGAGGGGTGAGCTGTATCCCAGATAGTAATGGGGGAGAGTGTTTGGGGGCTGGTCAGGTTGCATAAGAAGGCGGATGGGGCCGGGCGCGGTGGCTCACACCTGTAATCCCAGCACTTTGGGAGGCTGAGATGGGAGGATCACGAGATCAGGAGATCGAGACCATCCTGGCTAACACAGTGAAACCCCGTCTCTACTAAAAGTACAAAAAACTAGCTGGGTGCGGTGGCGGGTGCCTGTAGTCCCAGCTACACGGGAGGCTGAAGCAGGAGAATGGCGTGAACCCAGGAGGCAGAGCTTGCAGTGAGCTGAGATTGCGCCACTGCACTCCAGCCTGGGGGACAGAGTGAGACTCCCTCTCACAAAAAAAAAAAAAAAAAAAAAGAAGGCAGATGAACGGGGCCACTGGGTTGGGTGGCGCAGAAGCCACTGGCAGCCTTGACAGGAGCTGCTCCCTCTGGAAGAAAAGAAGGACGCCCTGCTGCCATGGACTGAAGGCTTTTGCTCGCTTTGCCTCACCTAGACGCCCCCTTTCTGCTGCTACATCCCAGCACCCAGCAGGCACTCCGTACACATCTACGATGAACACCCGACTGCTCTGACTCTTCACCCTCCCACCTCTGGGGACTCCAGCCTTACTATTAACACTCCCTTATTCACGGGCCCCTCTGCTGCTCGAGGCACCTCAGGGCCTTTGCACTGGCTGCTCCCGTGGCCTGGACCACTCTTCTCAGAGGGCTCTGCGTGGCTGCCCGCTGCTCATCACCCAGGCCCCACACAGCAGCCTCCGGGCACATGAGAGTGTCACGTATTGAGAGGAAAATATTTTGAAGACATTAGGGTCAATGAGGTAGGTTATCAAAACTAAATTCACCTGTTTCTTTTCACCTTTTTTAACGTGGCAACTAGAACACGTAAGATGGCGTCTGCGGTTCACATTACACATCCTCCCTGGGCAGCGTACTCTAAGCCAGGCTGCAAGCTTCCCCTACAGGGCCAGACAGGAAATGCTTCCAGCTTCTCAGGCTCTCTGTCGTAGTTACGATGGCAAAAGTCAGCCACAGATGACGTAAGTGATTGGGTATGGCTGCGCACCAAGACTTCACAAAGACAGGTGCTGGGCTGGGCTGGGCTGGGCTGGGCTGGGCTGGGCTAGGCGGGCCCCAGACAGTGAGGCCCATGCCTGCTGTGTGGTAAAGAATCCAAACCTGGGGCCGGGAGCGATGGCTCACGCCTGTAATCCCGGCACTTCGGAAGGCCAAGATTAGGTGGATCACCTGAGGTCAGGAGTTCGAGACCAGCCTGGCCAACATGGTGAAACCCCATTTCTACTAAAAATACAAAAAGTTAGCTGGGCGTGGTAGGGGGTGTCTGTGATCTCAGCTACTCATGAGGCTGAGGCAGGAGAATCACTTGAACCCGGGAGGCGAAGGTTGCAGTGAGTCGAGATCACCCCACTGCACTCCAGCCTGGGCAACAAGAGTGAAACTCCGTCTCAAAAAAGAAAAAAGAAAAGAAAAGAAAGAAGAAAGAAAAAAATAGAATCCAGACCTGCCCAGAGAGAGGCCTGGCTTTTGCCCTCCGCCCCTGGGAAGTCATCTCTGAGCCCTTGGTGCCTCACACATGAGGAGGGTCTGACTGCCTGGGGGCCTTAGGCCAGCCCACAGCAAGATGAATTTGGGGTGGAGTTTGGGCCAGATGGTATCCCTGAGCTTGGGGGGGCTGGAGGCTGAGGTCAGCCACACAGAGAGGGGGAGGAGTCCCCAGTAAGAACCCAGGACACCAAGGTCTGAGGAGCGTCCCTGGCTGGCAACACTCCCTGCGTGCCGGGAGGAGTGAGGGGAGAGGACTGCTGATACCTAGTCTCCGTGGAGCCTTCCGCGCCCTCCTCCCGGCGGCTTCCAGCGCGCCCTTCTCTGTGATAAGCGTGACTGTGAACATGGCTGAGTCCTTCTAAAGAACTCGCAAGTATGCCAAGGGGGCCCTACCGACTTGCAGCTGGTGTTGGGTGGAACCCCACATAGACTGTCCCTCTGCGCTGCGCCGTGGCCTCCCCACCATGGGTCACCCTGGTTTTCAGGGGCTAAGCGGCGGTCTTCCCTCGGCTTCCTCGTGGCTTCCCCGCTCCCCTGCCTCCTCCCCTCCTCCGTCGTAGCCCCGTCAGGCTCACCCAGAACAACTCCAGCAGGGCCACCGCCTCCTCCCCGCTGCACACCCAGGCCTGCGTGTCAGCGGGCAGCGCGCTCAGGAACTGCTCCAGCACCAGCGGCTCCAGGACCCGCTCCTTGGTCTGCACCTCGGGCCGCAGCGGGTCCCCGCACAGGGCGCGGAGCAGCCCCAGCGCCTCGTGGGGGCCCGACGCGTCGCCCAGGTGGAAGCGGCGGAAGCGGTGCCACGAGGAGCCCGGCGCCAGGCCCTCGGCCTCCTGCTTCACCGGCACCACCAGCTCCATGGGGCCTCCTGGATGGCAGCGCGTGCCCCGCGTGGCCCAGGGGGCAAAGAGGTCTCTGTGAGGAGCGGCGCTCACTCGGGCGGTGAGGAAAGGGTGTCTGTCTCGTGGGATCCCACGGAGTCAAGTCCCGGCTCTGCCCCTCGCTGGACCCCTCCGCGGTTTCTGTACCTCAGTCTGCAGCTCCTCCCGCAGCCTGTCCTATAGCACAAAGGCTCTGGAGCAAATTCCAGCTCTGCCTCCCACCAGCTCTGTGTCCTTGGACAAGGTACAAGGCACCTTTTGTAATACACTGTATGTCCATGTCCTTGGCTCACTCAGGCGAGGCTCCCCAAGACCCCTTACCTCCCCGCACACGTGCACAAAGCTCACCGGGACTCCTCTTACACATTTTTCATTATTCGTTGCTGGTACATAGAAATACAATTTTTTGTATATTGATCCTTCTATCCAGTGACTTTGCAGAATTTACTTATTAATTCTAGTAGCTTGTTGGCCGGGCTGGAGGGTTGGGATTACAGGTGTGAGCCACCACCGCACCTGGCCAGAAATTGTATACTCTTTAGTTGTCACTGTTGACCCTCTCTTCCCAAGTCATAAGCATCTACTAATCTACTTTATCTTCAGAGTTTACTGTAGAGATTTTATTAAATGAAATTATATAAAATGTTATCTTTTGTGACTGACTTTTTTCCCTTAGCATGATGTTCTCAAGGGTCATCTGTGTTGTGGTATACAGCAGTACTTCATTTCTTTCTAGAGTTGAATAATGTTCCATTGTATGATCTACCACATAGTGTTCATCCATTCATCAGCTGATGGGCATTTAGGCTGTTTTCACCTTTAATCTATTGCAAATAATGCCATTATGAACATTCCTGTACAAGTTTTTATTTTATTTTATTTTATTTTTTTGAGACGGACTCTCGCTCTGCCGCCCAGGCTGGAGTGCAGTGGCCGGATCTCAGCTCACTGCAAGCTCCGCCTCCCGGGTTCACGCCATTCTCCTGCCTCAGCCTCCCGTGTAGCTGGGACTACAGGCGCCCGCCACCTCGCCCGGCTAGTTTTTTTTGTATTTTTAGTACAGACGGGGTTTCACCGGGTTAGCCAGGATGGTCTCGATCTCCTGACCTCGTGATCCGCACGTCTCGGCCTCCCAAAGTGCTGGGATTACAGGCTTGAGCCACTGCGCCCGGCCACAAGTTTTTATGTTTACATGTGTTTTTATTACTGTGGGAGTATACATCTGGGAATGAATTGCTGGGTCATATGGTAACTCTCTCTCTCTCTCTCTCTCTCTCTATATATATATATATATATATATATATATATATATATATATTTTTTTTTTTTTTTGAGACGGAGTCCTTGCCTGTCGCCCGGGCTGAAGTGCAGTGGCCGGATCTCAGCTCACTGCAAGCTCCGCCTCCCGGGTTTACGCCATTCTCCTGCCTCAGCCTTCCGAGTAGCTGGGACTACAGGCGCCCGCCACCTCGCCCGGCTAGTTTTTTGTATTTTTTAGTAGAGATGGGGTTTCACCGTGTTAGCCAGGATGGTCTTGATCTCCTGACCTAATGATCCGCCCGTCTCGGCCTCTGAAAGTGCTGGGATTACAGGCTTGAGCCACCGCGCCCGGCCGGCAACTCTATATTTAATCATTGAGGGAACTGCCAGATTGTTTTCCAAAGTGACTGCCTCAATTTATATTCCCATCAGTCATATATGAGGGTCTGTTTTTTGTTTTCTCACCAACACTTAAGCTTGTTTTTTGACACAGGGTCTCACTCTGTTACCCAGGCTGGACTGCAGTGACATGATCATGGCTCACTGTAGCCTCAGCCTCTTGGGCTCAGGTGATCCTTGCACCTCAGCCTCCTGAGTAGCTGGGACTACAGGCACACGCTACCACACCCAGCTAATTTTTTTTTTTTTTTTTTTTTAAACATGGTTTAGAATTAACTGTTTACTTCCTGGGAGCGGGGAAATTCTCTCTTTATCAAAAGTTGGCCCAAATATTCTAAGAGTTATAGGTAAATGTGAATCAATATGTCAATTCCCTATCTCCCTGCTCATCTTTCTGAACTTTGTAGCTCAATTACATGAATATACAGAGCAAACAGACTTTGGTCTAAATATCAAAGTTTATTGAAATAAAATATAATCTATAATAAAAAATACTACAGGTGTTATTCACTGGTTACAGTTTTAAGTATATTAACAAAAACAGCCAACATTTTAATCCAACAATGACACTATCTTTGTGGTACAATAACAAACATGAAAGTAAATGTTGAATAATACTGAATAATTCTGTCAGAAATATTTTATACTTTACCATCTATGTATGCCTTTTTAGGAATATCCTCCCAAAGTGAAACTTTTGAAACTGAAGACACTGTTTTTAAGAATTAAGTAGTTTTAGAATAATTAGTATTTAAAACAAATTTATTTCACAGAAATTCAGTTCAACCCTAAGCTGGGTAGATGGTTTAGGTATCTTTATTCAAAAAATGTTTTTCAATGCTCTTTCCTATGAATCTCTAGGGTTGCTATTATTCCTCAATTGAAATTAAAGCTGGTCATAAAGCAAAACAGATTATTTCAGAAGTAAAAAGGGTATTAAGACAGAAAATGAAAGGAGGAGAAAATAGGCACTCATATGCAATCTATATATTTAAACGCTTTGAGAACTCAGTAGCCAATCTTGGCCTGGCACAAAGAGATCTTTGCTATGTCACAGCAAATTGACCCAGTTAGTCCAACAATAAAGTGGAGAAAGAAAACTTGTTTCTCTTCCTTGCTATATTTCAAGATAATTTTCTCTGTAGTCATCATACCATTCCACTTGCTACTCCTCAAAATATGTGCCTCAATCCAATTATTCTGCACAATTCAAGGAAAAAGATTCACATGCACTAGCTTCAGGAAATGACTTTCAGGGTACCTCTGAAGTTTCACAAGCAAACATGATCCCTTTTGCTGACTGCTGTGAGGCAGTCATACACCAATCTCCTGTTATATTGTCCTACTTGTAATGTGTGAATCTGTAACAAGTTGTCATTTATTAAGCAAGATAGTCTTTTAACAAAAACCTCTGAGGGCTTTTCAAAAACTCATCTTTAAAAATATGTAAAACAAAGATACCCTATGTACCCTGAACAAAATGCTTATTTCACATATGTGAAAAACAATAATAAAAATTCTGACAAAGTTGAGAGACATACAAGACAGGTCTTCAAGGATTAAATACTGTTAGTCTTAAAACATGTCGCAATTATGTTCACAATGTAAGATTCATTAAACATTTTTTAAAAACACATTGCATTAGTTAGAACTGCTTCGTAAGGTATTTCAGTTACAAGGCCTATTTTGACAGGTTGCTGATTTGAGAACTTAACTGAGAATTTCAGTTTCTTGACTTTTTTTTTTTTTTTTTTTTGAGACAGAATCTTGCTCTGTCGCCCAGGCTGGAGTGCAGTAGGGCAATCTTGGCTCACTGCAACCTCTGCCTTCCAGGATCAAGCGATTCTTGTGCCTCAACCTCCCCAGTGGCTGAGATCACAGGCATGTGCCACCACACCCTGCTATTTTTTTTTTTTTTTTTTTGTATTTTTAGTAGAGACAGGGTTTCACCATGTTGGTCAGGCTGGTCTCGAACTCCTGACCTCAGGTGATTCACCCACCTCGGCCTCCCAAAGTGCTGGGATTACAGGCATGAATCACCGCACCAGGCCAGTTTCTTGACTTTTTATTTATAGTTATAAAACAATTATGAGAGCCAAAGGAGCCAGGATCACCTTCCAAAACATTTTGTTTTGTACTTCCCTGATTTATGAGGCATTCTCCTCAAAGCAGGATATTACAGTGCAGATTAAAACCGGATATTAAAGTTAATGGTGACAAATTATTAAGTGGTTTGAAGAAATCCTTAGAATATTAGATACAGTAGAGAGACTTACTGGCAGAATAAGAAGTCTACTGGGGTTCAAAGCTTAGGTTTTATATTTCTGCCATGGTATCTCAACACTTTCTCTGGGATAGTACCATGCCCTAAAAAATACCTGTGTTAGGCAGACAAGTCTAAATCTCCTTTTTCAGGACAATAGGACAAAACTGAACTTGAGGCAATAGTTGAAGAATTTTACCCTGTTTTTCAAGTTTAATTTTTTTGAGATCAGAAAAGTAAAATTAGAAACTAGAATCCTTCATGTAAAAAAATATATGCATATAACAATTTATTAAACTCTAACATCTAACAGCAGAAACACCAGGATTAAGTAAGAACATGCATGAACTAAAATTTAGGTAAGATATTCAAAATAAGTTACATTTGCCAGAGCCCTGCATTTGGCCTCTCTCATGCCGTTGTCTCTATTTTGCAATTTGTTTTGTTCAGGAAGCCTCTGATTTTAATATTTAAAGTGTCACCTGAGAAGAGTAACCTCAATTCTTCATGTTTTCTCAACAGTCTTAGAGGTGTTGGACATCATTAATAAAAGATACTAAATCAGAGAACCTAAGAACTCTAAGATTCTGTCGAGTTCCTTTACCATTTTCAGTCACTTTCTAAAAGGGATTTAACGTCACATTATCAAATAACATTTTACACTAAAAACACAATTTATATAGCCCTAAAATAATAGCACTTAAGAGATCTAAATGAATTCCACCAATGCAAACAAAGGTTATATACTGTATTAGTAATTTGATGCCACTGTACTTTATTTCATGGAGAAAAATACAAAGAGAATCTAAATATTTAGATCTGTGAAAGATACTAGAAAAAAATAGATTTTTAAATGCTTCTGATCCTCCCAAAATACTCTTGATTTTGACTCTATAGTCTATAGAACACAAAAACAACTATAAAATGCATTTGGGAAGAGATGATGCCATACTCAAAGAAACTACAAATTTTGACAGCATTAAAAAAAACTGACAAGATACATTTTGTTATTGAGAAAAAAGTGTGCACACTGAAGAACATAGGATGTGTAATAGTTGTGATAATTTAAGTCATACTTTGTGCTTATACTATGCCCTTTATTCAGGAGTGCAAAACACTTAATCAAAAAGAGCATCCTTCACATATTTAGAGTACACTGAGGCACAGAAAGTTTGCCCAAGGCAAGATAGAAAGTCAGGTTTATAGACACAAAATGATCTAGAATTGTTCATGTCCAATTCCTTAAAATACAAATTGTAGACTATTCGTTATGCCTCCATCTTATCAAACATTAGTATTTTTACTAAGTTTATGCGTAAGTACTGTGTGATCGGTAATGCCCAGAAGGTTTTTATCATGTTTTAAAATAACTAGTGCATGGAATAGGAAAAGTTAATCAAATGTAAATCAATTCACTTTTTTTTTTTTTAAATGGAGTCTCGCTCTGTCACCCAGGCTGGAGTGCAGTGGCAGGATCTCAGCTCACTGCAAGCTCTGCCTCCCGGGTTCACACCACTCTCCTGCCTCAGCCTCCCGAGTAGCTGGGAATACAGGTGCCCGCTACCTCGCCCGGCTAGTTTTTTTGTATTTTTTAGTAGAGACGTTTCACCGTGTTAGCCAGGATGGTCTCGATCTTCTGACCTAGTGATCCGCCCGTCTCGGCCTCCCAAAGTGCTGGGATTACAAGATTTGAGCCACCGCGCCCGGCCACGCTTTTGCTTTTTAACAAAACTTAAATAAATCAGCTATTTGAGGACAGTTCTGGAAATTCTTGCCTCGATTTTTCTCCAGCAAGATTTTAGATATGTAGTTCACATGTCAATGTTAATATATGAATAATTATTTTCTTATTTATTGGACTTCTAGTTCTCTTTCCTCTCATGATCCATCTCTTAGTGAACTGACTTTCTGATTCATTGAAAGCAAAATGCTAAGAAGGTTTTGTGCAAGTGAAAAATGGTTAATCTTGGGTTTGGTCAACTAGTCTCTGATATTAACTTGTTTAGTTAAGCCAAGATCAAGAAGTATGAGAAAGAACTTGAAATATGAGAATTTGAAACTTAATATGGGATAAGTAGTCAATATTAGAAATGTGAGACAATAAAAACAAGATATATTCCAAAGCCTAATCCTAAACTTAAATCTACGCTTCATTTAACTCTGAACCTGACCTTGAAACATAGAAGAAGTTACTTTACCTAAGCACACTGGACCAGTGTAAAACCGATGCCAATTTTAGCTGCCTCATACTGCTTAATGTGTATATGTACACATGTATTCTTAAAATGGTGATTCTTAAATTGAAGGGAAGTTCTGAATTCTTTTGAGAATCTAACAGAGGTCCTGATAACTTGCTTCAGAAACACACACGTACAGTAAGTGTTGATCATGTACTATAAATCACAGCATTGTGGATGCAGTGGGATTAGACATGAAGAAAAATTTTAGATTTTCAGTAAAGACTCTGGTTACTAACCTTAAGGAATATACTTAGACTCGGAAAGTAAAAGGACAGTGCAGTGACCATATTTGTTCATTCATCTGCCTATTTTCAAACCTAATGATGATGTGCTGGATGCAAATGTGTCCCTAATCTAGGCTATAAATGATAAAAACAAAGACGTTTAAGTTCTAACTTTTGTTAGCAGTATACATCTAATAATTTCCAAGTATTACAAAATACCTGGAAGGAGAGACTTTAATATACCACTATCAAAATCCTATGTACCCAAACCAGCAATGAAATGGCTGGATATATAACGTTACCTTGGGCAAAATTTAAGAAAATAAAGACACAGTAGCTCTACATTTTTTTTTTTTTGAGATGGAGTCTCGCTCTATTGCCCAGGCTGGTGTGCAGTGGCGTGATCTCAGCTCACTGCAACCACTGCCTCCTGGGTTCAAGCGATTCTCCTGCCTCAGCCTCCCAAGTAGTGCCCACCACCATGCCTGGCTAATTTTTGTATTTTTAGTAGACATAGGGTTTCACCATGTTGGCCAGGCTGGTCTCGAACCCCTGATCTCAGATGATCCACCTGCCTCGGCCTCCCAAAGTGCTGGGATTACAGGCATGATCTAAATTCTTTATACCCTTTAAGGACAGGAAACCAGTATCTCTGAAAAGTTTGTGTGTTTTAATACAATTTACATTTCATTTTTCCCCCCACAGTAATCAAAGCAAACATTTTATCATTATTATTCTTGGTATATCAAACTAAATTCCAGGAATGTAAGAAAGTCTGACTTGGAAATATTACATAGAAAAAGGCTGAATTAACACATTACATTTTTTAGTTTTTCCTTGTAAGTATATATTGACATCTACTTATCTGATAGCAGCACTGCTGGTTTTGAGTGAGTTTTGTTTTGTTTTGTTTCCTTCCAGAGGGAATGCAGTATGGCAGTATTTTCTTTGGAACAAATTAAGAAGATAGTAACAAATAACAGAAGAAATACTTCGACACATATATTTTCCGTGGGCAATAAATAGATAAGTATATAATTATGAAAAAATATGCCTCAACTATGCTTTTTAAAATTTCTCAAGGTTTACTGGTTTTTCTTATTAAAATATAATGCACTATCACTACTACCTGTCCCGAGAAAAACAAACCCTGAGGTTTGAGTTTCCACCTTCAGCCAATAGTGATATCAAGAGTAAACTTGGATTGAGGTCAACCTGTTTGAGCCAATAGAGAGTTCTGCAGTATATCGGGTTATTATTACTAATGTATACATATTCTAGGTTATAATCAAGATACTCATGAAATATTTTCTGTCAGAGTTTTATATCCCAAACAGGTTCTTTGATGATTTATCATACTACCATAGGAAATTTGAAGAAATAACGAATTGTGTAACAGAAATAGACATGCAATATAGAGGACATAAAAGATACAGCTTGACCCTGGATTTTTCCCTTAGAATAATTCCTTCCATAAATAAGACTTTATTTTTACATATAGATTCATCCTATAACTGGTCTAGGATCATAAAGTTAATGACGTAGTTGAAAAAATCCAGACCACACATTTCTGTGGTCTTTTGTCACCCTAGACCACACACAAAAAAAACATTCTCCAAGTGGATGCTCAGGTCAGATTATGATGCTCTTAAATAAAGAAATGTACTGAAGCTTGTACACAACTATTTGCAGCAGCAATAGTCTTTCAAAATGACTAAAACAAACTTTTAAATATAAGGCATATAAAACACACTATTGAGGACAGTTTTCCAAACTATATATAGAAACACAGGAAAATATGTGTGGCCTCATAATAAAGTTAAATAAATAGTATTTCTGAGTTCTACAAACACTATAAGAGGTTATAGTTTTATTTGGTTCCCATAAGTTAAAAACTCTGATTGCTTTTACATAAATTCCTCCAAATTCTTAGCTACTCTCAGATTTTTTTTTTTTTTTTTTTTTTTTTTTTGAGATGGAGTCTCGCTTTGTTGCCCAGGTTGGAGTGCAGCAGTGCGATCTCGGCTCACTGCAACCTCCGCCTGTCCGGTTCAAGCAATTCTCCTGCCTCAGCCTCCTGAGTAGCTGGGACTACAGGTGCCTGCCACCATGCCCGGCTGATCTTTTGTATTTTTAGTAGAGATGGGGTTTCACCATGTTGGTCAGGCTGGTTGTGAACTCCTGACCTCAGGTGATCCGCCCGCCTTGGCCTCCCAAAGTGTTGGGATTACAGGTGTGAGCCACTGCGCCTGGCCCTCTCAGATTTTTATTAATGTCTTTTCACAAGACACAGAGATTATCTCTAACTTCCTTTCAGAAATGTGCTTTTTCATTGGTTTTAATAAGTACATTTAATTTTCTAGCAATAAACATGACTTAAAATTTAAGGTTCAAGGTAATACTAGAAAAAGGTAGACACTGAACTATCTGCTTTTCTACATCCCCATATTTACAAGGCCTAGCATCCACTGTGCTTTCCTCCATATACTCAATCACATTGCCAATAAATAGCAACTGTGGTCCAGGTTACCTATGATAAAGACTCCAAAATTCCTCAAAATTTTACAACACTACAAAGTCATTAATATCTGATATTGATAGGTTATAAGTATTAGTGTTATGCAACCTTTTGCTATTGGAAAAGAAATACAGATCTTTATTTTTGCTATCTAAATTAAATCTAAGCTCCATGATCAATTCTCAAGATAATACCTAAAATGTACATTCCTAAATAAAGGTAAAGCTGTTTAAGGGCTGAACTAGTCCAATATACAATTAAGGGTTATTTATTCCTATTATTTTGTTTGTTTTTGTTTTTTTTGAATCCCTATGTTAAACCCGTGGTTTCTCATGGATTAGATCATAATTTAACATTGTAAAATTTCAGAAACTATTGTGCTAATATTTAGATTTCAGGAAGGAATCAGACTAAATGAATTACCTCCATTCATTGTTAGAACAGAAGATATAATAGCTTACTAACTGATATGAGTTATGAATGTCACTATGACACAAAATTTGCTGTGATTTGCTTATCTGGCTACAAGTGCAGTATTTTTCAGGAATGACAACACACAGCATTTCCAACTTGTAACACGAAACTCCAGCTCATAAAGAGTGTATTGTGTGACTTGAAAAAGTCTGATTGTAACTAAGTAACAACCTTTCCCCTGAAAAAACATGAACAAAATCCATTGGGAAATCAGGCACAGACGGTATTGATCAGGTTTTCTTCCTTTCCTCCTGTGGTTTTGTTTCTCAAGACATATAGGTGGTTCCAACAGAAGCCAACACTTGTTACAAAATAACACAGCTATTTTTTTCCTTTTCTTTTTCTTTATCTTTTTCTCGCGGTTCCTTCCGTTTACGTTCACTATTCCCAGATTGTCTTCCACTTGATGGAGAGGCCTGTGCTGGCTGGCCCTGCTTTAAGAAAAATACACAGGATAAAATTAATCTAAGGGACTTATTCATGGTTATATAGAAAGAAAAATCGTAACAGTGGAAGGAATCACGGATGGAAAAAGAAGTTAGCTATTGGTATACGGATTTGTTATATTACGTGGTATCTGAGCAGTTGCCTCTACCATTCTGGATATAATTAATGCATTCATTATTCTAAATAAATAAAATTTCTTTTTTTTTTGAGACAGAGTCTGGCACCGTTGCCCAGGCTGGAGTGCAATGGCATAATCTTGTCTCACTACAACCTCCGCCTCCTGGGTTCAAGAGATTCTCCCACCTTGGTCTCCCAAGTAGCTGGGATTACAGGTGCCTGCCACCATGCCCGGCTAACTTTTTGTATTTTTAGTAGAGACGGGGTTTCACTATGTTGGCCAGACTGGTCTCGAATTCCTGACTTCGTGATCCGCCCACCTTGGCATCCCAAAGTCAGTATTTCAAACAGTAAATAACGTAAGATTATATTGCCTAAAGTCAAATTGAAGACACATTTGTCAAAAGTTCAGAAAATGTTAAAGAAAGTGACACCTTTTGATAAACTATAATAGTTCTTCAAAACCTCACTAAATTCCATAATAAACAGATTTTTTTTTTTTTTTTTTTTTTTTTTTTTGAGATGGAGTCTCAGTCTGTTAGACTGGAGTGCAGTGGCACGATCTCAGTTCCCTGCAACCTCTGCCTCCTAGGTTCAAGAGATTCTCCTGCCTCAGTCTCCTGAGTAGCTGGGACTACAGGTGCATGCCACCACGCCCAGCTAATTTTTTATATTTTTAGTAGTGACAGGGTTTCATCATATTGGCCAGGATGGTCTTGAACTCCTGACCTCGAGATCCACCTGTCGTGGCCTCCCAAAGTGCTGGGATTACAAGCATGAGTCACCGCACCCAGCCATAATAAACAGATCTTAAAAGGAGAAAAGAACCCCTGAGAACTGGGAGTGTGGAATGTGAAATAAGACACCTTTTTTGAGTGAAAAGCTAGGCATAACATGGTAGGATTTAACTATTAAGCTTGGAGTAGTCAATATTTGAGCTAGAAATAGAAATTTTATACTTATTTTAATGGGGACTTCTATATTTAGTTTTATGAGACTTAAAAGGGCATCTTGCTTTTTTTGTATGCCCAAATCAGAATTTCTTGTATATCTGAATCAAAAGGAACAGTCTAGGCCAGGCACGGTGCCTCACGCCTATAATCCCAGCACTTTGGGAGACCGAGGTGGGTGAATCCCTTGAGGTCAAGAGTTTAAGACCAGCCTGGCCAATATGGTGAAACCCCATCTCTACTAAAAATACAAAAATTAGCTGAGCGCGGTGGCACACACCTGTAATCCCAGCTACTTGGGAGGCTGAGGTAGGAGAGTTGCTTGAACCCATGAGGTGGAGGTTGCAGAGAGCCGAGATTGCACCACTGCACTCCAGCCTAGGCATCAGAGTGAGGCTCTATCTGAAAAAAAAAAAAGAACAGCAGTCTGGCATGCTATAAATATAAAAGGAGGGGAATATTTTTAACTTAATGAAATGAGATTTAACATGTAGAATCTCACCATTATATTTTAAGTGCTTTAAATGGTTTATGGAAAGTGAAAAGTAGGGAGATGTCAATCTTTGTTGAATACCTAGTACATGTTAAACATTGGGCTAAGCCCTAATATTATTTGTTGTTCACAACAAACTTAAGAGTTCTTCTATTTTACAGATAGGGAAAATGAGGCTAAGAGAGGCAGAGGATGTCATCCAAGAGATTGCAACTAGAAGGAAAGACAGGAGCAGGAAATGCAAATCCACATTTATCTGGATCCAAAGTCTATATTTTTTCTAGTAGTACCTCACACTGCCCTCTAGTTGATAGAAAGGACTTCGTCCAAATTGACTTATTTTCTTGGCAGCTATTACGAATTTTAGAAATAAATTTGAAAATCAGAACCTCAGGAGAAAATATTTTACTAAATGAGATACAAGCTTAGGACAATGTCATAAAACCCATGGGTGCTAAATTCCTAACAAAATTGAAGAGTTAATACCTAATTTAAAATTTTTTATCTCAAGTGAAATTTACTGCAAAAGTGATCATCGCCTTTTTTTTTTTTTTTGAGAAGGAGTCTTGTTCTATCATCCTGACTGGAGTGTAGCGGCACAATCTCAGCTCACTGCAACCTCTGCCTTCCAGGTTAAGCAATTCTCCTACCTCAGCCTCCTAAGTAGCTGGGATTACAAGTGTTCACCACCACGCCCGATTATTTTTGTATTTTTAGTAGAGACAGGGTTTTGCCATGTTGGCCAGGCTGGTCTCCAACTCCTGGCCCCAAGCAATCTGCCTGCCTCGGCCTCCCAAAGGGCTGGGATTACAGGTGTGAGCCACTGCACCCAGCTGTGATCATCACATTTAAGACTCAGAACACTAGTTTTTACCTGAACCTGTGTAGAAGCAGCAGCAGCAGCTGCTGCTGCTTGTTCCTGTTCCTGATAGTATTGAGAAGCCCGTCTGTCCTCTTCCTCTTGGAGTTTCTTTGCTAGTTCCAAATCACTGATTCCTTCTGGGATTTGTTCCCAATTGATCTCTTGGCTCTGCTGTTCTTGTTGTAGAGATAATGCCATAAGATAATCCTAAGAAATTAAATTATAACCATCATTAGCCATGAGATTTTGCCCAAGAATGAATGACTGCAAATATAGATGTTATATCTATAAAGCTGTAAGAATGGCTTTAAAAAAATATGCCACGCCCGGGCAATATAGCAATACCCTGTTTTTACAAAAAAAGTTTAAAAATCAGCCAGGTGTGGTGATGTGCACCTGTAGTCCTAGCTACTTGGGAGGCTGAGGCAGGAGGATTGCGTCAGCCCAGGAGTTTGAGGTTACAGTGAGTTATGATCTCCTCACTGCACTCCATCCCACACGAGTGACAGAGACCCTGTCTATAAAAATGAATAAAAACAAAAAAAGAAAAAGAAAACAATATAAAATGACAAATAATTAAAATAAAATAAAAACCATTTTATTTTAAATATTAAAATGACAGTTACCTTCCTAAGTATTTTCCTTGGGGAGCTATGAATTTATTTCAGTGATTCTGTCATTGTTCTAAATATTTTTGGAGGCCAGGTGCGGTGGCTCACGCCTGTAATCCCAGCACTTTGGGAGTCCAAGGCAGGTGGATCACTTGAGCCCAGGAGTTCGAGACCAGCCTGGCCAATATGGTGAAACCCCATCTCTATGAAAAACAGAAAAATTAGCCAGGTGTAGTGGTGCACACCTGTAATTCCAGCTACTCGGGAGGCTAAGGCAGGAGAATCACTTGAACCTGGGAGGCGGAGGTTGCAGTGAGCCAAGATCATGCCACTGCACCCCAGCCTGGGCAACACAGCAAGACCCGGTCGCAAAAAAAAAAACTGGGGGGAACGTATGTGAAATTGTTTTTGGAAGCCATATATAGGCAGTCAAGAAAGCTAAAAACAAAACAAAACAAAAAGTAGAGGGGAGCCAGGTACAACGGCACACACCTATAATCCCAGCACTTTGGGAGGCTGAGGCGGTCAGGCTGCTTGAGCCCAGGAGTTTGAGACCAGCCTGAGCAACACGGCAAAACTCTATTTCTGCAAAAAACACACAAAAAATTAGCTGGGCATGGTGACACATGCCTGTGGTCCCAGCTACATGTAGGGGAGGCTGAGGTGGGAGGATCACTTGAGCCCAGAAAGTTGAGGCGGCAGTGAGCTGTGATCACACCATTGCACTGTAGCCGAGGTGACTGAGACCCTGTTTCATGTATAAATAAGTAAGTAAATTGGTTTAAAGAATTTTAAAAAGTTCCCCATTTACAAAAGAAACATGCTTATAGGCAATTCAGACAAAACTGAAAACCATAAATAACAAAATTTAAATCACCATAATACCATTACACAGAGAAAACTACTGTTAACAGTAGTTTATTATTATTTTTCTACATTTCCATACAAATTCAAACCAACCCTCTGAAACTACTGCAATGTTTTCTTTTCCATTTAGTGTCCTAAAAGTCTTCTGTTTTAAAAAATAAGAATTTCCCAAGATTATTAAATATTCTTCTAAAAGATTTTTAAAGACAACATAGTAGCCATCATATAGTCTTACTCAATTATTTAACCATCTCCTTCCTACTCCCATGTACACACTCAGATTACTTTCTATCAGAAAAAGTGCATTTTGGTCAAGCGTTAACTTAATATCCACTTTATTAAGAGTCAGTGCTGACTAAAATTTGACCAGTCTGTGTACCTCCTCCCCCATCTACCCTGAAAATAAGATAATTTTAAATAATACAGAGGATGGGTAAACGGTTTTTGCCTGTGGCCAGGTGGGGTGGCTCACGCCTGTAATCCCAGCACTTTTGGGGGCCAAGGCGGACAGATCACTTGAGCCCAGGAGTTCGAGACCAGTGTGGGTAACATGGCGAAACCCTGCCTCCACTAAAAATACAAAAATTAGCCAGGTGTGGTGGCAGATGCCTGTAGTCCCAGTTATTCAGGAGGCTAAGGTGAGAGAATTGCTTGAGCCTAGGAGGTGGAGGTTGCAGTGAGCCAAGATTGCACCACTGTACTCCAGCCTGGGTGACAGAGTGAGACCCTGTCTCAAAAAACAAAAAAGGTTGTTGCCTGTAAAGATCTTGTCATACATATAGCATGACTATCTCATGGATATAAAGATATAAAGAATTTGTCCTTCAAGTTCTTCTGAATTCTTCAAACTCTGCTCTTTACGAAGCCTCATGGTCTTGAATCCACCTCTTCCTTGCTGCTTCCAGATAACAATCTCAACACCTTATCTGGACTACTGTGACAATCTATTGCTTTGCCTTCATTCCCCTGCTCCAATTTTTTCTTGGCTCACTGCAACCTCCACCTCCCGGGTTCAAGCGATTCTCCTGCCTCAGTCTCCCGAGTAGCTGAGACTATACAGGTACATGCCACCAAGCCCAGCTAATCTTTTGCATTTTTAAAATTAGAGATGGGGTTTCACTATGTTAGCCAGGATGGTCTTGATCTCTTGACCTCGTGATCGGCCCACCTTGGCCTCCCAAAGTGCTGGGACTATAGGTGTAAGCCACTGCGCCTCGCCTTTTTTTTTTTTTTTTTTTTTGAGACAGACTCTTGCTCTGTCACCCAGGTTGGAGTGCAATGGCACGATCTTGGCTCACTGCAACTTCTGCCTCCTGGGTTCAAGCGATTCTCTCACCTCAGCCTCCCAAGTAGCTGGGGTTACAGGTGCGCACCACCACACCTGGCTAATCTTTGTATGTTTAGTAGAGACAGGGTTTCGCCATGTTGGCCAGGCTGGTCTTGAACTCCCAATCTCAGGTGATCCACTCACCTCGGCCTCTCAAAGTGCTGGGATTATAGGCGTGAGCCACCATGCCCGGCCCAATATTTTTTATATATAATATAATGCTTAGAAAAATCCCGCACATTTCTCTTAACATTTAAAACACAATACCCATGTATAGCTTCTGAAGAAAATGAGCACAATGACTTTCAGAACTGTTTTTCAAAGAAAAGTCCTAGAAAGATGCATATTTGTTTGAATTAAATATTCTTTTGTGTACTTGATACCTGCTCTTCAAATTGCCAGTATAGCACTTAACACATAACATGCGTTGGTCAAATATCTGCCTCCTCTACTAGGCTCAGCATCTTTAAGGACAGGACTGAATGATTTATCTTTGTATCCCTAGGACCTAATTATCGTGCCAGGAATACAACTCCTCACTGAATATTGGCTAACTGAACAGTCTTTGTGCACTTAAATTGTTATGAGTGAAATATATGCCAACTGTTTAATATGACCATATTTTTGCTTCAGTCAGGGAAGAATTAACATCACCATCATGCCTCTAATAATAAACAGACCTGTGGCTCCAAGCCTGCCCACTTATGGCAGGCAAAAATCTCATCTGTCAAAAAAAAACACAACTCATCCGTCTCATTTCTAAATGCAAGTTCTATTCACTAGTGCGTCTCCTGCTATAAATGTCTACTCCTCCTTACCTTGGCCTCTAAGGTTTAGAATATCCACCCATTCTTTATACAGTATATGCTACCTTCCAGATTCTCTCTCCTCTACTTTTTCTAACTAGTCAAAATATAACTCAGATATGTGCTCATCTCTTCATCTTTACTACCCAAGGCTAAGCCATCATCAGCTCTTGCTTGGACTGTTTGTCTCTGCTTAAACCTGTATCCTTCCTATGTATTCTCCAAATAGCAGTCTTTTAAAAAGGTAAAGAAGATCCCATCACTTCCATTGTTTAATGCTTGACATAGCTTCTCTACTGCAATTAGAATAAAATTCAAACTTCTCACCATAACCTTCACAGTTCAATATGATCTGGCCTTCTGCACCAAAGTACATAATTAATGTACATGTAGAATGATCACCAACTATTCAGGAAGTGTCAGGAAAATTTCACAAGTATATTGATGAATTAATCTTTAGTTGAAAAATTTTGGATAACTGAATTCACATTTGAAAAAAATCAGCATTTTAAGCATTATAAAGAAGACAATACAAATTTACCTGATCTATCTGATCTTGTTGTCCTTTGTATACAGTTTCAGGATCTGAAGGAGGCCGAAGACGAAATTCTGAGTCACAGAAATTTCCATCACCATCTACGTTGTGTAGGCTTTCCCAAACAACTTTTTCTTCAGTAAGAAACCCCTGGTCCGTTACCAACAAATACAGTTGACCCTTAATAAGAAGTAACAAAAGAAAAAAAACTGTTAAATTGATCAAAACTAGAAATATAGTATTTAAGGAAAGTTTTATAATCTATATCTTCAGAATGTATTAAACATTCCTACTGTTTAGATCTGTACAACACGATAAATAGACCAAGTAGATATTTTACTTCCTCAAATCCACTTGGCTTTGAATATAGTTTTTAATTGGCACACTACACTATAACAAGAAATAAGAGCTCTTGGCATGCTCAGCTAATGTATGACTTATAAACACCTTTGGGGGGTTTATATTCTCATTTCACAAAATAGAAAAACACCATACAAATTCCTGAAAAATATACTACAGTCACAAAAAATGATACCATGTTGCCTATTTTTTTTTCCAATTAAGCCTATATGACTAATCCAATCCATACCAATTTTTCCTTTCTCTGCACCATTAGTTACTCTTGTTTTATACACCAATACTTTGTACCTACTCTGTATTACCAATGTACTTCTTTTGTATACCAATAATACAGATACAATGCAATTGTTTTGTACTTGTTTTGTATCACCAAATTGCCCAGTATTGATTGTATTTTCCTGCCTTATCCCATAGCCTCTGTACCTGCATACAATTTTTTTTTTTTTTAATTTTTGTGGATACATAGTAGGTGTGTGTATTTGTGGGTTATTTTTTTTTTTTTTGAGAAGGAGTCTCACTTTGTCACCCAGGCTGCAGTGCAGTGGTGTGATCTCAGCTCACTGCCACCTCTGCCTCCCGGGTTCAAGTGATTCTCCTGCCTCAGCCTCCTGAATAGCTGCGACTACAGGCATGTGCCACCACGACTGGCTAATTTTTTGTATTTTTAGTAGAGATGGGGTTTCACCGTGTTAGCCAGGATGGTCACGATCTCCTGACCTCGTGATCTGCCCGCCTCAGCCTCCCAAAATGCTGGGATTACAGGCGTCAGCCACCGCGCCCAGCCTACATGGTATTTTGATACACGCATGCAATGCATAACAATCACGAGGGTAAATATGGTATCCATCCTCTCACTTACTGCTTGTGTTACAAACAATCCAATTACACTCTTTTAGTTATTTTAAAATGTAAAATTAAATTATTTTTGACTATACTCACACTCTTGTGTTAGCAAATGCTAGGTCTCACTCATTCTGTTTTTTTCTTTTTTTAACATCCATTAACCATCCATCCCGCCTGCCTCCAAATACCCATCCCAGCCTCTGGTAACCATCATTCTACTCTCTTATCTCCAGGAGTTCAATTGTTTTAATTTCTAGCTCCAAAAAAAAAGAAAGAACATGCGAAGTATGTCTTTCTGCGCCTGGCTTATCTCACTTAACATTATGACCTCCAGTTCCATCCATGTTGTTGCAACTGACAGGAAGTCATTTTGTTTTGTGTGTGAATAGCACTCCATTGTGTATGTGTACCACATTTTCTTTATCCACTTGTTTGTCAATGGACACAGCTTGATTCCAAATCTTGTCTAGTGCAAATAGTGCTGCAATAAACATGGGAGTGCAGATACCTCTTCGATACACTGATTTCCTTTCTTTTGGGTATATTCTTAGGAGTGGGATTGCTGGATTGTACAGTAGCTCGATTTTTAGTTTTTTGAGGAACCTCTAAACTGTTCTCCATAGTGGTTGTACTGATTTATATTCCCATCGACACCGTATGAGGGTTCCCTTTTCTCCATATCCTCACAAACATTTGTTGTTGTCTTTCAGAAAAAAGACATTTTAATTGGGGTGAGATGATATCTCATAGTTTTGATTTGCATTTCTCAGATGACCAGTGATGTTCAGCACCTTTTCACATACCTGTCTGCCATTTGTATGTCTTTTTTCTTTAAGATGGAGTCTCACTCTGTTGCCCAGGCTGGAGTGCAGTGGCATGATCTTGGCTCACTGCAACCTCCATCTACCAGGTTCAAGTGATTCTCCTGTCTAAGGCTTCTGAGTAGCTGGGATTACAGGTGCCCACCACCACACCTGGCTAATTTTTGTATTTTTAGTAGAGATGGGGTTTCACCATGTTGGCCAGGCTGGTCTCGAATTCCTGACCCCGAGTGATCTGCCCACCTCGGCCTCCCAAAGTGCTGAGATTACAGGTGTGAGTCACCACACCTGGCTCCATTTGCATGACTTCTTTTGAGAAATGTCTATTGAAATCATTTTGCCATTTTAAATTTGATTTAACTGATGAGATTTTTTTTTTTCCTAGAGACTGTTATATATTCTGGTTATGAATCCGTTGTCACATGGGTAGTTTGCAAATGTTTTCTCCCATTTGGTGGGTTGTCCCTTCATTTTTTTTTTTTTTTTAGGCAGAGTCTGGGTCCCACTCTGTCGCCCAGGCTGGAGTGCAGTGGTGCGATCTCAGCTCACTGCAGCCTCAGCTTCCTGGGTTCAAGTGACTTTCCTGCCTCAGACCCAAGTAGCTGCAACTACAGGAGCACACCACCACGCCTGGCTAATGTTTGTATTTTTAGTAGACAGGATTTTGCCATGTTGGCCAGGCTAGTCTTGAACTTCTGAGCTCAGGTAATCCTCCCACTTCAGCCTCCCAAAGTGCTGGGATTACAGGCATGAGACATCACACCCAGCCACTTTGTTGAAGGTATCCTTTGCTGTGCAGAATTTTTTTAACTTGATATGGTCCCATCTGTCCACTTTCACTTTGTTGCCTGTGCTCGTGGGGTATTATCCAAGAAATCTTTGTTCACTTCAGTGTCCTAGAAAGTGTCTTCGATGTTTTCTTTTAGTCATTTCATAGTTTGAGGTCTTGGATTTAAGTCTTTATTCCTTTTTTTTTTTTTTTTTTTTTTTTGAGACAGAGTCTCGCTCTTGTTACCCAGACTGGAGCACAGTGGCACGATCTTGGCTCACTGCAAGCTCTCCATTCTCCTGCCTCAGTCTCCTGAGTAGCTGGGACTACAAGCACCCGCCACCACGCTGGCGAATTTTTTTTATTTTTAGTAGAGACGGGGTTTCACTGTGTTAGCTGGGATGGACTTGATCTCCCGACCTTGTCATGATCCACCTGTCTCAGCCTCCCAAAGTGCTAGGATTACAGGCGTGAGTCACCACACCTGGCTTTTTTTTTTTTTTTTTTTTTTTTTGAGACAGAGTCTCGCTCTGTCATCTAGGCTAGAGTGCAGTGGTGTGACCCCAGCTCATTAAAACCTGTGCCTCCCAGGTTAAAGGAATTCTCCTGCTTCAGCCTTCCAAGTATCTGGGATTATAGGCATGCACTACCACACCCAGCTAATTTCTGTGCTTTTAATAGAGACAGGGTTTCACCATGTTGGCCAGGATGGTCTAGAACTCCTGACCTCAAGTGATACATCTGCCTTGGCCCCCCAAAATGCTGGGATTACAGGCGTGAGCCTGTAGAGGCACCTGACCGCTTTAGTCCATTTTGGCTTGATTTTTGTATATTAGATATGGGAGTCCAGTTTCATTTTTCTGCATGTGGATATCCAGTTTTCCCAGTACCATTTATTGATGAGACTCTTCCTTCCCCAATGTATGTTCTTGGCACCTTTATTGAAAATGAGTTCATTGTAGGTGTGTGGATTTGTTTCTGTGTTCTGTGTTCTGTTCCATTAGTCTATGTGTCTGTTTTCATGCAAGTGTCATGCTGTTTTGGTTATATAGCTCTGTAATATAATTTGAAGTCAGGTAATGTGATTCCTCCAGTTTTATTCTTTTTGCTTTGGATAGCTTTGGCTACTCTGGCTGTTTTTGTGGTTCTATATAAATTTTAGGAGTTTTAAAGTATTTCTTTGAAGAATGTCATTTATATTTTTATAGGGATTGCATTGTATCTATAGATTACTTTGGGTAGTACAGAGATTTTTAACAATACTGATTCTTCCAATACATGAACACAGATCATCTTTCTATTTTTTGGTGTCCTCTTCAATTTCTTTTTTGAGATGGAGCCTCTGTCATCCAGGCTGGAGTGCAGTGATATCACAGCTCACTGGAGCCTTGAGCTTTTCGGCCCAAATAATCCTCCCACCTCAGCCTCCAGAGTAGCTAGGACTACAGGCATGTGCCACCATATCTGGCTAATTTTTTATTTTTTCTAGAGATGGGGTTTTTCTGTGTTGCCCAGGCTGGTCTCAAACCCCTGGGCTTAAGCAATCTGCCTGCTTCGGCTTCCCAAAGTGCTGGGATTACAGGTGTGAGCCACCATACCTGGCCTTCCTAACATATTTTTAATACCCAGCTTGGGTCTACCTCATCCTATGATAATTTAAGAGAAAAACAAAAAGTCCTTTCCAGCTAGTTTTCCACTGAATAGATCTGACCCTTCTCTTTATACTTATCACAACTCATTTCAACATATCATTTAATATTACATAATGTCTCTGTTTTACAATTTATATAGATCATATATTACACTGGCTATTTTCCAACCATAATCTTATTAGTAATTTTCCCCCAGATGATGCTTTAGTATGAGGGTTCTTCTCTTTTTTTTTTGAAACAAAGTCTTGCCCTGCCACCCAGGTTTTAGCACAGTTGGGTAATCTTGGCTCATGGCTCTGCCTCCCAGGTTGAAGTGATTCTTGTGCCTCAGCCTCAATAGTAGCTGGGACTCCAGGTGCATGCCACCACACAGAGCTAATTTTTGTACTTTTAGTAGAGTCAAGGTTTTGCCATGTTGGCCAGGCTGGTCTTGAACTCCTGGCCTCAAGTGATCCGCCCACCTCGGTCTCCCAAAGTGTGGGGATTACAGGCGTGAGCCACAGCACCCGGCCACGTGAGTATAAGTTTTAACTAAAAGGGTATTCCTTTCTTGGTACAGCTGATCTGTCTTCTCATAGATCATCAGCCTCAATTTCCTCCTTAGATTTTGATATTTATTTTTTGTTGTTGGTGGGTTTTTTTTTGAGACAGAGTCTTACTCTATCACCTAGGCCGGAGTGCAGTGGAACGATCTCAGCTCACTGCAACCTCCGTCTCCCAGGTTCAAGTGATTCT